GCAAGGTGTGCCTTGTCTCCTTCTCCTAGGAGTACTCTCAGTCTTGAGAGGTCATCAACCTCCTTGAAACCTGGGATTACAGAGTTCAACTTGTTCCAGTAAATGCTCCTTACTTGGTTGAATGTTTGGCACTTCAGGAGGAAGTGCATCTCTGTCTCAGTCTCACCTGTCGTACAGTGACCACATATTCTGTTCTCTTTTGGTTGCCAGGATCTTTTGAGTCTTCCTGTTATATCTCGCCCTGTCAATAAGCCTCACCTTCTTGGCAAACACTGTATTGTTTTTGAAGTGGTGGAGAGACAATGACGCAGTTTGACCACTGCTGTCACCATGGACCAAGCATATCTCTCTGTCCCAGCAACATCAGTACCAAGCAAGAGAGTTGTTTCCACAGCAGGGGATATTGTAAACGCCCAAACATCCCAGCTGCTACCTGGAAATGTGGACATGCTCATATTCCTAAAAGATAACCTAGATGATGCTGAGTGAGTGAGTGAGTGAGTGAGTTAGAGTTGAGTTACTTGAAAAACTAAAGTGAAACTTGATTTATTCTATTGCAGGGTCTGATTATTATATTGTTGACACTTTAAAATACTACTATCCTACTAAAATGCTGTACAAATCAGATTTATTATTTAATAAAGAAAAAAACTAATAAAAAAAAAAGAATTCACATTTTTTTTCTTTATTTTTCAATATCGCGATAAACATCGTACCGTGGACTTTTTATCGCGATATTATCGTACCATGACTTTTTGGTATCGTTTCATCCCTACAATATACTGTATCTCTACGGGGCCTTCTATTGAATAGGGATTACATTTTTTCAAATTGTCAGGGTTTTATATGACAGATCCTAACACACACAAGCACACTATTTCATTACTATGAGCTTCGTGGTTCCTTAAGTTGAGCTGATATTAGTTAAAGACCAACATCTTTCACAGATATCGAACAACAGTCCCTCCTGAAAGGCATTGTTGCAATCGGTTGTGAAAGGTGACATAAATATTTGGTATAGAATAAAAGACAAAATGCATTGATTAAAGTGTCTCTGTTGTTGTAAACAGAAAGAGATGTTTTGAAAGTGGCAAACAAATCTTTTTCTCGCAATGCTCCCCGTGCTTCGCCCCCTCTTGGATTTTAATATCTGTTTGTGGTCCTATATATTTGTTTGACATTGTTCTTTCATCATAAACACCCTGTGAAGCTGACAATTGAGCGGCCCGACCAAGCAAGGAGGCAGAACGTCCAAAATGATAACCCGGTGTGGGCATTTATTAAAATCATGTGCACATAGTTCACAGCCTCAATCCTGCTGTTCTCCCTGAACACATCCTACAGCCACAAGGATCTCACACCACATTAAAAACAGGAAACACAGAGCCTAAATACACCCAGACCAATCAAACCAACAAGACCCAGGTGAGGGGGGAGGAGACAACCCAGGGCACCAGGTGCACACAATCAGCAGCAACAGACATGGGGATATGTCAACTTTACACAATTAACAATTAATGCAACTTAACGTCATGATTAATACACCCTCAACATATTATTTGCAATCTGATTATTCTCAACCGCTGTCATTCTTA